CTTCTCTCAGGTAGGACCGGCCTCAGAGTCCCATTCCATACGTAGTACTGTCCCAGGCCGGGGTCAGTCCATATTAGTGTCTCCACATCATACCTCCCTATGGATAGGTTGTGGCCTCCTTAACCGAGACGGTATCTATACTGCTGTCTACGCTGTTAATATGACCAAACCAATAAAATAAAAACAGAAAATCACTCATTGCTCTTTACTGAATAACTTCTGTACATTCAATAAGAAGACATTTTTTATTTGAATGTTGCTTTTAAATGTTCTTGCGTGAAGATAAACATGGCGGATTGTGTGCGGCTCACTCAAGGCGGGGTCTCTGCTAATATTTCAGTGTCCGTCAACAGTCGTGGACGGGGCTTGTAAAATGTGACATCACATTTTACAGATTCTGCAAACTCTTGCTCTGAGACACTGCTTATAATTCATGGGGATTAAAAAAGGAGCGGTTGGATTTTTATCATTATAGGGTGGTTGTGCACACACTGCTAACACACATTTATGTTCAAACAACATGTAAAAGTGAATTTTGCATAATAGGTTCCCTTTAAGGCTTTTACTGGGATGGATGGATTTGTTCACTTAAGACATTCACTTGGTCATCACTGAGTCTGAGATCCATCCCTCTGGCCATTTGTAATGAAAACACATGTACAAAGGAACACTGTGTCAAGGGCTGATTGCGTGTGTGTGTCTCTTAAACACACTGTGTCTCTTAAACACACTGTGACCAGGAGATTGAAGGGAAGAATAAAAAGGTCCAAAGTACAGGTGCATCCTAAGGTTCCTCTCAAGATGCATTGCATGTGTTTGTGTTGTATGTCTGTGGCTTTGTTGTAGTGAGTGTCTTTTTTTTCAATTTTGGATGATATTAATTAATTAATAACAACAGTGAATCCAGTGTTGTTGCTGTTGGGCTTTTTTTTATGAATTCACCTTTTGAATGTTTGAGTTTTCTATTCATGATGATGAAAGACCCCGTCAGGATCACTTGTTACTACCAGGGTTCAAATTGGAGGCTAAAAGAAATGGGTTTTCCGATAGCTAATGCCAATATGATGGTGAGATAAAGCTAATGTATGCTGTATATATCTATAACACACTCGTGAAATCATTAGAAAGAGAATGAATTTGAAAAATGTTCACTATTATCCTAGCAAGCAAATTAATTGGATCTGAAGCATTCTGAAAACCAGAGACACAATAAAACCTTGGGTATTTTAATATTTTATAAACCAGCTGTTAACAGCCACAGACAACATGAGTCCATGAATATTTACAACAAAAAAACAATGGTGTGGGTGTCATTTCTCAAATTCTCTTATGAAGGGTGAATGACATAATGAAGACATGCTAATATTGCTGTTTTATCAGTGACAAAGCATTACAAATTGCTTTATTTAAATTAATTGAAAAATTGAAAAAAAGTCTTACCTCTATCAGTTCCTATGATATTCTGATGCCCAGGCATGGCTTTCATCCCTGTCATTTCATTTCATTTCATTTCATTTATTTATATAGCACAGATAAACACAACAGGAGTTGACCACAGTGCTTTACAGAATAAAGATACAGATAAAGAAAGAAAGCAATAAGACATAAAATTAAATAAAACATAATTAAGAATTGCTAAAAAGCTCGGGCCAGAAGATAAGACTTTAACTTCGATTTAAACTCATGAACAGAGGACAGGGATCTCAGATAAAAAGGAAGATTGTTCCAGAGCCTAGGTCCAACAACGGCAAATGCACGATCCCTGTCAGTCTTAAAATTTATATATATATATATATATATATATATATATATATATATCTTGTCACCTGTTTATCATCCACCAAGTACAATGGCACATTTCTAGGTCAGTTATTCTTTAATAACACAACTTGAAGACTTCATCTGAAACAAATCATCTGAACTCTGTATCTTGAAGCCTGTTTTTGTTATTTCTATCATTTCAGAAAACTGCGGTAAAGATGATCAAGTTAAGACTTGAGAGGTCTGAGAATGTTGGTCCAAGTGTCCAGCTGTCCTTATTATATTGCTTTTGAAGGGCGCTTTGCCACCAAATTGTAAAGGTTTCACTGAACAGATCACTTAGATTCTCAATAGTTCCAGTGGGCTGATCGCTCTTAATGTACATGAATGAATGAGAGCGTTTAGAGTGCATAGAGAGCCTTTAGCACACAGTGAGAGTAAATTGAATTTGATGAGTTGTGAGCCCAAAGTGCTTTATTGGCATCTAAACACTCAAGTGACTGGCTGGCTTATGACGAATGGATTGAGATAAATTCGATTTCTGGAAGACTGAAGTAGCCTAAAAATGTGCAGCTAGCACTGTTTATTTCTATGAGTCGCTTTATTGATGTGTGTGAACCACACATTCTAAGATGATATTTAATTTAAAGTGTAAATTTTTGACATTGGTGTCATTGGCTGTTTGCTTTTAAACAATAAACCAATTGAATGTTACACTCTATTTACATTAGGTTCAAATAATCGGACCAGTAGCCCATTACAGCTCTCTAATAGCTGTACTCTAGTTATCATAGTAGAACATACACTTTCACATCAATGTCACTCTGATCAGAGTCATATTCCATTATTAATTTGGTAACACTTTACAATAAGGTCTGATAAGATCCCCCAATAATCTGAAATTATCACTACAAATCTTTATAAAATTCTGACTTTAAATTCTGATTGGATAAGCCATGCTCCAAACCATTGTAAAATGCTGATTAACTCAAAGAGGTCTACAATACCTGGCTAAATTAGCATTCCCATTCATTTCAATGGCAGTTGCTTGGCTGGCACAGGACCCGTCAGAATTATGTGACTTGCACACTGATATCTTTGCTCATGAGTAGTGCTGGGGAAAGTGCTTGATTGCATCAAGAATAGGAAGCAGGAGAAGAAAGTTCAACACTCTTCAGCAAGTACAAATAAAATAAAATACAATAAAATAAAATAAAATAAAAAAAAATTATTATGCTTAGCCTATCTAAAGTTATTTTGGTTTATTAGTATGGCTGAATTAGATCATCGAAGGTCAGCTGCAAAGACATTACTTAATAACATGGGATTAAATACATAAACGTGTTATTTAACATATTTACATAATTATTTCAGGGTTTTCGAGTTTGCATTACAATGTTTTTATTCTTTTTGAGGAATATTGGATCTGTTTTTGTCATATGAATATGACAATTATTTTTTACTGTAGTTCTTACTGTAGTTCTAGATTAAATCGCATTTTATCTAGAACTACAGTAAGCATCATGTTTACACAGCACACACAACACCTCTGCACTTACTCCTGATTTCTCAGGGGACATGGGGACAGGAGAGTTTCAGTCAATAAACGGGAAAATAAAGTAAAATTTACTAGTTTTCTTGGAAAAAGTAATCTGATTACGTAACTCGCATTACTTGTAATACACTGTAATACACTGTCAAACACAGCAGACCGAGAAAAACATGTCAGTTTCACTCTTTGCCTTCCAGAATATAATGAACTATTTGTGATGTATGTTGCTTGCAATTATGTCTCTAGTCCAAAAGCTTCATTAACTACTGCTATTTGGGTCATTATTGGGGTTTGTGTTCCAAAGGCAGGCTGCAGGTTATCAAGTCTAGACATTTTGTACCCTGCAGACTGAAGAAAACCTCATGTTCCTTATTTTTCTCTCATCTGTGGTGTTGTTTCAAAGAGAAAATTATATAGAGAAATGAGGAGCACTTACTAGCATCAATCAATGCATGCTGTATATCTGTTTTGTTAGGCACGACAATCATCTTGTTGATGTTCACAATCTCTGTATCTTGAAGTAGCCCTGAACAATAAGGATTCTGCAGCACCTGAAAGTTTTGTACACTGCTGTCCTTTTTTGTAGTTGTACTGCTGTACTCTGAAACTGTGGGTCTAGGAAATAGAGAACTATTGATTTGCTTTCTTTTTTTTTTTTTAAAGCAGATCCTCAGCATCCTAAACTGTACAGATGGAGGCTTTCATTAATGGCCGATCTGTCAGACTCACTGCTGGATATGAAGTGTGTCATCCATAGGTGTGAGCTGCACTGCTAATAGTCCTCTAGGTTCCAAGGGTTCAGAAATGATGGGAATGAAACTAGCAGAAACCATCAGATGGGCCAGAGACACGTAGAGTTTGAGAATACTTGACTTCCTTTGAATTTGTTCATAATTCTCATTATTCTGAATTATGATTCTCATTAGATCCTAATTACTGTTAATATTGTAATGAAACATCCTCTCTAGACACAATGGTAGCATAAGCGATGTGTAAATCATCATACACTAAAGGGAGTTGAGGAGAGTGGGGTAAAATGAGTCACCATGTAATCTAGCAAATTGTGCACATTTTTTTGTCACATGACTATATTTAGAAAGAGTCTGTCACATTCAAAACAAATAACCTGCAAAGGGAATTGCCCGTGTATATTTTGATTTGTCTGAAGTTTAGCCATGGACTATGGAATGAAGCATTTCTTAACATGACAGTTGTGCAGTAAAGTGTGTCAGATATTTTGGGGTAAGATGGCTACGACTATTGGGGAGCTACTACGACTATTACAATTTTTTTCACTACATTCAAATACTAAATCGTATTTAATTACTATAAACAATATACATTTTTCTTCCTTTAAACATGCGTGAAATGTGCAAAGAAGACTTGAGGCCATACATTTGTGAAATGTTCTTCTTTTTTTTACATTTAAAATGTAACTCGCATATCCAATCAGTGGACTTGTGTTCTACTAAAAGCACTTACACAAAAAACACGCTGCACGCAGAAAGACCAAATTCGTCATATCTCAGATCGGATAATCCGAGTAAAATATTAGAAATCCATCGGATGGCGCACTTGATGCCTTATAGCGTGTGCACTGGGAGCTGTCCACGGCTCTGAAATTACAGAGGAGCGGTTTAAGCTTTTAGACGCTTCCTCTGATGCAGCTGAACTGCATTCATGTTCATACTGAGCCACAGAGACAACATTATTCTCAAAGAAGGTGAAAGTGACGGCTCACATCACAGAAAACGCCAGTCGTGCCGGTGAATTGATCCAGCGTCTTCGCGCGCTGCGCAGGGAGTTCTGACTCGTTCATTCCCCTCACGAGCTTCATTGATACTTCACTAAATGTACGGAGATGGACCTACACTGGATTACTTCTGACGCTATTTGGAAACTATCATGAATAGGAGTTCAACATCACCAACTGAATGACCTGCTGATTATTTCGCTCAGCAATCTTCGGATGCCTTTCTTCTTGCAACTTCATCAAAGAGCGTACAGTCCGAATTAGGGCTGTTACTTTAAACTCGCATATTAGGAAACACAAGTAATTAAAGTAAATTATGCGTTTTATAGTTCGTGTGTTGTTAACCAGTCGGCGCGAAAAATTATGTGTGTAAATAGCGAGTGTATAACTATGACGAGAAGATGCCTGCTGACGTTCAAACCGTTCAGGTAAGACTTGACATCTACTGTAAGACTTTTATGTTCAAATTATTGAAGACATTGACAGTACACCATTCAGACAAACCTCGAATTGGCACTGTAGCGTTTGACCACTGTGACTGAGGTCTTAGTTTTGTGTCTGTGGTCTGGTTGCCTTACAAAAAAAAAAACACTTTCACAACAGTGTTTCCGCCAAAATGCCACATTTACATTAATTTTTGTAATGTAAAATCTTATTAAATGAATGATAACAACGTTAAGAATCCTACTGTTAAGTTTCTTTTTGATGGCAAATTTTTGTAAAGAATGGTTCGCCAAACTGTCAAACTGTCTTTACTATTGTTACCAAGCTGTCAAACTGTCTTCACTATTGTTACCACATAAAAGTGTATCTACAAAGAAAGAGATTACAGTCTTACTGTAAATAACATGGTGGTGGAGGTGGTAGGCTAATATTCTCGGTTCTTGAGAGGGTTTCATTGATGGTGTCAGGGGACTTTCAGGCAAGGATGTGAGGATGGTGTAAGAACTGATTCTCGTTGATGAGCTTTCGCGCTGTTTCTCGCAGTGGCGGGAATCCAGCAGTGCAAAGATGTGGGTCATTCCGTTCTGCAGTAGCCTACCTGAGCTCTGCAACTTAAAAAATAAAATAAAATACAAAAAAATAAAAGGCTTGTGTTGTACGTTAAGCACGCTTTTTCTGTGAAAGAGTTGCAGATATTACAGAAATATGCCCTGGTCTTATTTAAGACACTTATTTAAGACACTTATTTAGCCTACACAATGGAAATAAAATGAAAAAGATGTCTTCCATGATGAAAATAAGAGTTCATAATACTTATTGATGTTTGCTGTTACTTTGCCACCAAACATGATGTCACTTTATAGAGAATTATGTCAGCAGGGACTAGTAATAGTAGAGGAGACTATGGAGAGTTTTTTTTCTGCTGCACTACATGTCTCAGATTTTGATCTACTGTAATATTCCAATATTTGTCTTCTACAGACTAAAATAGAAACAACTAATCATTACTTAACCCTAAATATTCTAGTAATCAAAATTACTTTTCAATAATAATGATGCCATTCCGTAATACCACTTATACCACCATTATAAGTTAGGCATTTTAATTCAAAACAGGAAACATTTTATTTCAAAATAGCAAATACATGCAGATAATATGCAATTTCGTGTCCAGTTACAACCCTCCGTGTCTGGTCTGACATGACATTTCTGTTTCCTTCTATATATAATTTATAAGAGAGAGAGAGAGAGAGAGAGATCGATAGAGAGAGAGTGAGAGAGAGAGAGAGAGAAAAGATCTGCAATAGTTAATAAATCGATCCCCGGTTTACAAAAATGGCAAACTGTTGTAGGATATCAGACCGAATCAGACAATCTAAGATTTGGTCAAAACATGGTTGAAACACGAGGAGCCGAATTCCACAGGGGCCCAAGACACAGGATGTTCGTAAATCAGATCCTTGCGCCACAAGCCTGAACCAACTAGCAGCTTTGAGTAGCTCACAGCATTTAAACAAAAGAACACTTATTGACAATTCCT